TGGAGTGCTCTTATGTGAAGGATTCATAACATAGCATTCCAGATACAACAGATTAGGAGTTGTGATTAATTCAGGAGTAATCATTTATGTGTATTATAATTTAGAGAATGTGAAATCCTTGCCATTGCAGGTGTGTGCGATGTACGGATAACATAGAGCCCTATTGTATGAGCTATACGTATATACCTTCAGTATTATTTTGTGTACTGTATACATGTTTCCTGAATATTGTTCTGCGAGACGTTCACCATTTACAGTTCTTTCCTTTGAAAACTATTATTGAGTGAGGATAAAGCATCTACATAGAGAACGATTATATCAGGAGCATAAATGTGCAAGTCTTAAAATTGTGCCTGCCATATGTTTATATGAGGAAGTTAGGCCAACGAGTGCTATTCTTTGAAGAATAGAATCAGGAGAAGGATATACACTTCCTTGGAAGACTAATATATAAACAATACATTTTTCGCGAGCATTATTAAGTATGTGAGAGGGAGAAATCTCTCTAGAGTATCAGTGCATAAACAGTAGGAAAATCCAGAGAGTCCCTATTGTTGAGTCGTCAAGATTTAAAGCAGGAAGCACCATAATTTAAAGAGAGATATTTAGTAAGACATAATAGAATGGATGCAGCGGTATTCTTGGAGGGGTTCCAATCATTGAGCGTTACACATATATAGAAAATACGAGATGCCTGCGGTATATTTGTATTAACTGTAAGAAGCGGCATTACAGCAACTGATTAGAGGATAAGACTCTGTCAGGGGTAATGTTCTATGTAGTAAAGTGCTGTGTGAGGAGGAAAATTGTTTAAGATAATACAGAGGTTTAGAGAGTCGAATTCCTTGAGAAGGACAGCAGTTGTAAGAATCATACCATTTCACCAATACCCTGGCTTCTGAAATAATTCCATTCCAGGAATACGCATATACCAATCCTAAGGCTATTCATGCTGTATAAGAAACTGAGGGATACTATCACTAAAAAGGGTCTCAAAATACCAAGGATGCATATATATAGGAAGAACTTTTTATAGGCAAAGTAACACTGTAGGTACAATAATATGTCGTGAAGTGTGATTATTCCTTCTCAATATTATTGTAATATAGATTCAATAATTATCCGGGTACTATTAAGAAAAAATGATTACGGAAGATTTGCACACCTGCTTTAATCTGTAGTATTTTCCTCTTAACAAGACTCGGAATCGATGCGGTACTATTAAAATATAACAATTATGTGAGGTGAAGGATTAAAATTCTTATACTCTAGGGAGGAATAAGAAATTATGAAAGGAATAGTACTATATAGAACGGGCTGTTTCTCATGAGGAATTAGGAATAATAAAGACATGAAACGCGCCAAGCGGATAAAATGAGCATAAGAATACACAGAAAATAATACGGAATCATTAATCAAGGAAGGAGGGAACCAATCATATAGGCGCGGATGACTATAATGGAATGTATATACGAATACAACTCAAATATTTGAGAAAATTATCTACTTCAAAGAACGGAGAGAGATATATGTAAGACCATATAGATACCCCACAGGAAAGTGGGCATATCAACATGACGGTCAAAGTGGAAATTCCTAAAAGGAAAGGTACCTAATTAATACATACAGAAGAGACAGCACGAGAGGAGAGGATACAGGGAAAGATGCTCAGGGGATGAAGATTATACACTACATCCAAAGCATAGAACCCAGAAACACATTAGGAGTGACAGATAAGGAATAATATGAGCAACAGATCTTTCCCTCTGACAAAATAGATATATAAAATCGAGGGTTTCATGTTCTCTAAAATCTCCCCAGGCGCATACCAGCAAATAATATCTTGAATCTGTGTTGAGTTCATGAAGTCTAATAAATCGTACAATAAATTAATTTTTGTCTGTCCCTAAAATTCTAGATGATGATAAAGAAGACGTCTCCTTATTCAGAAAAGCAGGATGTAAAATGTTAAGTCGTATTCAGAATCCCTTTTCTGCATAAGGAAGTATACGAAAATACGATGAACACGTTCCCCTAATACACTAGAAACCTGTCTTATAACTGAGTCATCCTCAACAGGAGAGTTATGGAATTTTTCTAAGGAATAAGAAGAAGTCAGTAATTACCTGATCCACTTGGCAATGATATGATTCTTATATGTGTTTTAAGTGTGATGCTGTATGAGAATATAAGGAAGCCGGAAATATTTACCGCCAGTATTAATGAGTCAAAGAGTTTTATAGACTTATTTTGTGTTATCCCACGTGATTAATTAAGGGAAATTCTCAGGGGGATTCGTGAGTTGTTGTACCAGGAATCTAACGAAGGGAAGGAGTAATTATGTTTCCCTAAATGATCATAATGTAAGTATTCCACACACATCTTGAGCGAATAAATATTCAAGTAGCTGGATGACAAATATTGTTCCCATATGGGATATTATCTTTGCTATCTAAACAATCATGAAAGATCAAATACCAAAAGCAATCCTAATCTACTGAACAGTAAATAAAAGCGCAGCTCTGAAGTACCCCGAGGGGATAATCTAATGGTTAAGAATTTAATGATCAACAAGAATGTATACAGAAGGAAGGAACCCCGAGGAAAAATCAAACAACCAAACAAGCAGGAACCAACAGAAACCTCTATAAAATAGGCGCCCTAATAAAGTAGATTAGGACAACCGCATGAATCGAAAAGCCCAACTGGTATGGCCAAGGCAACGAAAAAGCTATCAACTATACCCAGAGGAGGAGGACAAGCAGGACAGAGGGAATACGCCCAACGAACTAAGACATGCAAAAGGTTTAATGAGGAATATCAAAGTGGAACTCGTATGAGGATGAAAATAATAAATGCCCCTTTAAAATAATCAATATACAGAATTAAATAAAAGGCCCAGACAGGAGGAACAGTAAACCAGGAAAAGTAGAACAGGCCACAAACTGGGGCCCCCAAAACAAGCCCCCATCTAACAGCCTTAGGAAGGCACCTATCTGAGTAGCGATAACCTCTATGTGAGGTATAAAGTAAGATATAGTAAACTATGGTAATTAGAAAACAACTAACACCTTAAGATGCCAAACAGGAGAAAACACATAAGTGAGCAAGCAGGAGTGAAGAATAGAACAATACGTCAACTTGGGAAAGCAGGTAGACTTAAGTTCAAAAATCAGCAAAAGGAGATATAGGAGACAGTGATTAGACTTCTGTTGTATTGAAAAACTAAGATCAAAAGTGCCAAAGTACCCATCTAACAAGTAAGAATCTCGGAAAGGTACGACTAGTCTCTTAACCGAGAAGCACTAGGATACAGACAGGAAGCATAAGTGTAAACTCACTGCCAGTAACCACATGTACCCCGTGGAATTAAAGACTTTTAAGGAGAAGAAATATTAAGTGAGTGTACCAAGCAGGATTGAATTGAAGCAGTAGATGACAAAGAACCGGGGCGCCATCTTAACCGTCCGTACAGAGACACCCAGGATAAGACTTTCTCAATACAGTAAACAGCTCAGTAAATTGTCAACAAGTGATAAGTCATCCAAGAGGAATCTTCCGTGGATAAATATTAGAAGAAACAGGAGGAACTAGCATTGCACAGCGTAACAGTGGGCATTAACTCCCCCAAACCCAAGCAGAAGAGTTCAGCCCAACTAAAGAGGGGTTTACGGAACTAACACAAAGAATCAAGCACAACCCAAGGAGAACTAAAGAGAAGAAAGTCTAGAAGGCATAGTATCTAAAAAGAATGATATTGAAAAGGCCAATTATATCGTGCAAGAGAAGCACACGCAGACCGCCCACTGAATGAAGCACAAACCAAGAGCGAAGAGGACAGCAAACTGTTGAGGACGCAACAAATGAAATCCAGGAATTTAATGAGTCAATGTGAGTGAAAAATTAAGACGAGTTAGATGAAGCACAAGAACAACCAAAGAATCACAGAATGATGAAAAAAATTAAGTAAAATAGAGAAAAAGTTGGCCCATGATCCCCCAACAAGCAGATCGGGGAGCAAGAAGAAATTCTTATGGCAAGAAAGGATGCCAAAAAGTATTAATAAACAACATTCGCAACTAAAAAACGATTGTGAAGACCCAAGGCACCTAGGAGAAGTATTAGAAAATAGGAACAACAGAAACCTAAGGAAAATCATAAGAAGCCAATTAATAGAGAGAGGGGAAAAATCATGAGCAACAATAAACGGCCAGCAAATCGGAAACCCCAAAGCCTAAGGGACGGAGAAGCAGAAGGAGTAGTCAGACTTCGCAGGGAAAAGTAGGAACTCGAAGGAGGGAACAAAGAGGCACACCAGAGCCTATAACCACGGCGAAAACACGGCATAGGCGAAGATGAAAGGATATGTTTAAAAGATGCCAGGTAACTTCAGACAGTATAGTGCACTACGGAGTTCCAAGACGGAGAAGGCGGACGAAGAACAGGAACACCTAGGACCGAAACCTACGGAGCTCAAGTCCAGACTGCGTATGCCAAGGAAGAGATCAAATCATCATACCAAGAGGATGAAGTAGGAGCTCATCAGAGAAATCCCAAAGAGAGAAAAAGGGCAACCAAGTCAAAGAATAAAGTCTCAGAAGTCCAGAGAACAGAAGGCAGGAGAAACCAACACAATCAGATAAAGCAAATACACAAAGGGCAGCGAAAGACTTTTCCAAAACCTAAGAACCGCAAGGACAGCGCCGAATAGAAAATGGTAAAACAAAGAATCACGGACGGAGACATTAGAGAAGGCAGTCTCCACGCGAAACCGCTTACTCTCCCCGTATGACTGTGGGAACAGGATGAGAAACGTCTGGTAAAGCAGCGGGAAAGAAACTAAGAACAAGTAGTATTAAGTACCCCCCCCCCGCGAAGCCTTACCTAAGGACAGGAGTCGTAGCAGGTATCTAAGGTGGAGGAAGCAAGAGGTGCCTAGCAGAAGCCAAATAAGGAGGCTTAATCTAAGACACAAGTAGGATAGTCTTAAAGACCAGATGAACTAAGTAGAGCAAAAGAGAATTCCAGACTGAAAAAAACAGAACAAAGCAGGAGAGAGGGAGGACCCCGCTCATCCCCAAAAAAAATTCTAAAATTAAATAGAAAAGTGAGTGAATGTACAATCCTGAAGTGCAGGTGAAGTGAACTCGACAAGTAAGGAAACAAGATGAGGGCACGTCCGGGCAAAAGTAAAGATACGGGGGCACGAATCTCCCCTCCTCCAAGTAAAACAGGGGAAAAATCAGCAACTGAAATGATAAACTCCAAGAAGCTAAAACAACAAAAACTTAGAGAGAAAAGGAATTAGCGAGCGAGGGGAGCGGCCCTGATAGAGCCGAGTATATAAGCCCAAAAAAACAAATCTAAAAAACAGAAACGGAAAAGCCCAAAAAAGGCGAATCCAGATCTAAGGGGAGGGTCTAACCAAACAACCCCGAAATAACCAACAGGATCTCCCAAGTCAACTAAAATATGCAGGATCCCCCCAGGAAGGAACCCAATGATTATGGAGCATTCCAACCCAACAGTTTAAGCCTATAAACAGTAGGAAATAAAGGGTCACTGAGGATCAAAGACGAGATCAAAGGGAAAACCGAGAAATACAAACGAACACACCAAGACAAACCAAATAACCCACCAAGGAGGAATCTTAAGACCCAAAAATCACAAGCCTCAATGAACCAGACAACTACACGTGTTACAAGAAATGTATGAACCTCCATTAGACAGCAAAGAAGAACGTAGAGAACCGGAGAAATATCAAGAACAGACGCCACCAGCACGTAAAGGACAAGAAGAAGCATAGATGCATAAGCGGCTTATTTATGAACAAACCAAAGGAAAGAACACTCCAAGGGGGAGCTGACCAGAATGAACCCAAAAAATAATGAAGTAGAGAAAGAGTCAATAGTAAAGGAAATTCAGAGTTTCAAAGACAGGAAGGAGTAGCCGAGGATCCAGGAAGCAAATTACAGAAACAAAGACAGGAAGGAATCAGCCAAAGGGGGCGAACATGTGGATCCAGAACAACGAAATATCAGTATCAAAACAGGACAGATAAGGAAATTCACCCAAAAGGACAAAAAAGAATAGTCCGATATAGGACGAAGACTCCATCGCATAAAAGAAGCCGAGAAAGGATGAAGGATGCGGCAGGTATAGACCTCCCGGACGAAGAATCTAACAGACCCTATCCAAACACGAGAGACCCCTCCCCTAAATAGGCCAACTGAACAGGACCAATGAAGACTGACAATGTAGGAAGAAGAAACATTAAGGGTATCTTCAGACAAAGGCCCTTCAATATCCTAAACTCAAGTAGAAAAAAGAAGACTTAAGCGGAATAAGTCCAACACGTGGAAGAATAGTGGCAAGAGAGAGTTGGGAAGGAAGAAGAAACCAACTTATAGAAAATTCGTGGCAGCCTACAAATGAGAGCTTCGGATAAATAAAGACAACTTCGAAAAAATAAGAGTAATTCGTATAGACGTGTTTCCCCGGAGCTAAATCTCAATCCGAGAACGGCGAGTTAACCTCAAGAGGAAACCAGGGACTCAGTATAAAATCCAGGCAACACCTATAACCAAAAAACAGAAGCTACACGGGAGTAGGAAAACCAAACAAAAACAAACGAAAAGGGACATCTAACAACGTCAAGGAGGAAACAAAGAAAACCTATCTCCACAGATTCAGACGAGCAGGCGAAGCACGGGAGATGCCGAGTCTCCGATCCAATGAGTATACGAGTCTCTCAGAAGCAGACTACTTAATACCAAAAGTGAGTGAGGTGAAGTAAGCGTAGAGAATATAAGTAGGCCAACAAGGGACACAAGAATCCATCCCAAGTAAGAAGAGCCCCTAAAGCGTGAGGAGGAACATCCAGAATGGAATCGCGGGGAGTGTTCCAATCAGACTACCCCAGGCCGAGGGAGGACAGGAAATTACAAAAGGACGTCCGAGAATAACAAGAGACAAAGTAGAATTCGGAAAAGTAATGATGAAGGTGATTCATACAGGAACATGTACCTAAAAAACAACCCCAAGACAGGAAAAACCGAGAGCGCCCCAGAACCATAACAGGAGACCAATCAAACAGCTTAAAGAAGTCACTTAAAGAGGAACATTCTTGTGAGCCCAATCGAAAGATTGAGACCAAAGGACACCAGGAAGCCCTCCCCCACCTGTCACAGAACTATCGTCCCAGAGTAATAAACCCCCCAAAGCAAAAAAAGAAGAAAGAGGGAACAGGTGGCTTCAAGAATTAAAACCCTATAAGGAGAGAAGAATATATGAACTACCAGCAAGAACATTAAACAGGTTCAGGCCGAAACATAACCCAGCGCGGGAAACACCGCTGTTAGAGAACAACCAAAACAGGAGGAAGAACAGGGACACTCCAGAGCAGAACAAGCAGAGGAGGTTATTCCGGTAGATAACTTCCGATAGGGCCAGAAAGGGCAAATATCTGCCACCCCCACCTCCAACAAAGGGAAGACAGCCAGCGAACCTTACCCCAAAAAATCCCCAGAGGAAAATTAGGCCAGGGCACCCAAAAAGGGTAGTCCCTCCCACAAACCAAGTGAGGAATATAAAGGAAAGGAATCTCCGATCCCTCAAAGGAACAGTATGAAGCCCATAAGAACTTCCAAAATAGAAATCCACACTCCTCTGAGGGGAAGCTCGACCAACCCAGTATCCCAAAGGAATCCAAATCGAAGAACGACAACGGAAAGCTTTAGCTACCCCGAGTTGATCACACCAAGTCTAGAAAACGGACCCCCAAAGAGAACCACCACGGGGCCCAACTAGGAGGAGCTGGATATGGCACAGAACAAAAAGGGGGCAGGCGGACGATATCAATGGACATGGTGTATAACAGGTCAGAAAGAGTAAGTAAAAGAACCAAATCAGGTTCCCTAAATCAAAACATCTAAGAAGAAGAAGGAGGTAGTCCAACACAACCCCCAAGAAGCCACTCCTGCGGAGGGCAGAATAAGGGCAGCATCAGTCAGAAGAACTAGGGAGGAGGACATCCAAGGGAAAAGCGTACTAGAAGGTAGTAGAGGAGTAACCAACCACCTACAACACTGGACGGCTTATGGTGAGGGAAAGGTGAGAAGGAAGACCAGGCCCAAAGAAAGACGAAGGACGAAAGTGATCCCAAAGGCAACTACCCCCACAACACGCAGGACCCCCAACACAAATCAACAAACAAAATGTTAAGACTCAACTATGACAAGGGAAGGAAACAGATAGATTGAGCAGGCAGAAGAGTGAGAGTGAGATCTACGTATGGATCACAACTACCTGGCAGATTCCACGACAGGGAAGTATCAGAAAACGAGCCCACTCTACCACCCCAGAACAGAGGAAAGCGAAGTGGGATATGCAGACGAGGGAGCGTAGATGAGAAGCATTATGACAAAGGAAAGACAAGCGAAATACAGACCCCAGGAAAGTGACAGCCCAAAGTCAGCCGAAGGAACAAAGGACGAAAAAATATGAAGCTAAGGAAGCACAATTCAGTATAAGAAGGACTACGAAGGCGCAGGATGGGAAGAAATGACGGAGTCAGAAAACGAAGACCCAGCTGGAAAGGGATGGAGGGGTAGGGTGAAGAAACAGCCGCCTCCAAAAAGAAGGAGTCAAATTGAACTCGCAAGCGAAAAGCCGTTAATTAGTCGGGAGCCAGGCATGGTGAGGAGTAGAGGAGGTGAAATCACGCTGGACGAACAGGCAACCAAGGCAAACAGTAGAACCGAAGCAGCCGTCGGGGAGTTAGGATGAGGAAGGGCAACAGCAATCGAAAAGAAGCAGAAGGGAGCGAGCAAGAGCGGACGGGACCTCTGGAGGAGTTGACGAATGTGTTCGTCCTGAGAAATAGAAGTCAGCCTGAATCAGAGACAGATCCGATAGAGGGCGAGGAAATAAGAACCAGCAAAAGTCTTCAGCGCAGAGCCCCCTAGGGCCAGGCTTCCCTGGGCAACGTCTCTCCCCCCCTGCTATAGGAGAGGAAGGAACAAAGAAGAAATCTGAGGCCAAATTCCTGTAGAGACATTCCGGAGGATCCAAATCAGAAGGAAAAACTGAACCAAAAGAAGAAGGAAAGGCGTCTTCGTCGATGAGACTTTCCTAGAAGGAGGCGAAATAACGAGAAGAATTAGGAGATCGATGACAAGTAATAAGAAATCGAAGTGGGGAACGAACCACCCAACACATTCTAAGAAGTGGGGGATCAACCGGAAATCAAAGCAGTATTCAGGGAAAAGGCACGTGACGAACGAGCACCTAAGACAAAGGGGAGGGACTGCTAGGAGGAGGGAGAAGAGGGAGAAAGGACCAAACAGAGGCGGGATAAACTCGGCAAGACGGAGAAGAGGTAGTCTAGGGGGAGCATCTGCCCCTCAGAACAAGGGAGGCGCTATAACCCCTGGAAGATGGCGACTTACGGACCTCGCAATAATAGAAGCATGCAGAGGACAAACCAACAAGAGTAGAACTGGAGACTGGGGTTAGAGGAAATTTAATTCCAGACATCAGGACACAACCGCCCAAACATCGAAACGCACCAAACCTCGAAGGAGAAAAATAACCACTAACCGAAGAAGAGTAAGCCCGAACAAAAAATCGCGGTAGACCAAAGGAAACAACCAACAGATCCCGGGATCGCGACCAGGATTCTAAGACCAAATTAAGGAAAAGGGAAGGAAGACTAGAAGACGGTAGGAGTAGGAGGGAGTACCAGAAGGAAGCCAGTCAAGAGTATGGATGACGAGGAACAAGGAAGAGCTAATCCAATCCAAATCCTTCTACGGCGGATACAAAGACAGTAGCATAACCAAAAACAGGCCCCCACTCGAATCCTAAACTAGACGATACCTCAACGGAGGCTATATAAGGGACCAAGGAGGATATCCCTCCAACGACAACAGAGAAAAACCCAGACGAATACAGAGGAGAACCAGACGGACGAACCAGGAGCAAAAACGCCAACAAGAACGCGAAGGGAGGAGAAGACCACATGGCTTTTAAATTGAGGGACTATATGAGGAACTTGGAGGAGGAAGCCGTTAAGGATCCACCGAGAGGGGACCACGGCAGAGTAACATTAAAATTGACCCAAGTGGCGCAGTCAAAAGGAGATAAAGACAGAAAAATAGGACGGGACAGATGGAAAAACATCCTGAACCTGGCAGGAACAGAATTAAGGGAAACGGACATTAGAGCCCGTATGATATGTAAAGCAATAGAGACATGGATAGCAAATCTGAAGCCACCCGAGACAGAAAGGAAACTATATGAACAGGGGGACTGCACCCCAGAAGGAACAGGATGGTTAATATCAGGAGCAAGGAGCCCAAACTGTAAATACAAGGCTGATTACGAAGTATGGTCCAGCTACAACTCGAGTAGAGACTTATATCCGTGGCAGGAAAATGACAGGTATCTTATGATCTGTATGGACCTGATGAGTATAATAATCACGATATTTGAAAGTATAAGCCTGGAAGGGACGCAATGGAAGGTGGGACCCAAAGAAGATGCATGTGAATTTTTATTCGGCGCCTTAACCGAATGGGGAGGGAGAACAGTAGCCAAACGAGTAATGCAGGATTGGTTCCCACAGGTAGCGGACCAGGAAAGAAGAGAAAGCTTCCCTATAAAATTCAACAAGCAGCCGGCAGTAGAATGGGCCGAATTCTTCGAGGGAGTCCAGAACACAGTCATAGGAATACAATGTAGCTCACAGGGAAAACGAGAACACCCAAGATATTCAACCCCGTGTATAGTTCTAAAAGGAGAGAGGAGTTGTAATGTGGGGGGAGACGAAGATGCCTCAGAGGAGAAACGGAAGGTAAGTCATACCAAAGAGTGACAACAGACCCCAGGGGGGTGTTAAAACAGCAGAAACCCCCATGCGAAAAAGACGAACTCAAAAAACTAAATAGGAATAAAGGACTCCCGAAAGAGTTTTCCCAAGGGGAAGTACCAAGGGAAGGACAAAGTGGGGACACCCAGTAAACGGATGACAGGAGGGGCGAACTAAGGAAAGGGGCCAACATTCACGAATAAATCAATTTGTCCCGTAGGAATTAGCCCGCAAAAAACGAAACCGGAAGGAAAAGGAGGATGTAACCCTCCAGCAATTAAGGATAAAAGAAAAAGAGACAATAGGACAATTGGGGCTGAACGAAGAAAAAAAGGGAGGTGTAATAATCAAGGGGATCACGGCCGGCTTAATCTTAGGAATGGCAGCAGCAGGTATTGCGTATAGTTATAGGAGAATATTTAAGACAAGGAAATTTTCAAAAAGAAGAACCTTCGGTGTCGGATACCAGGCAGGGAGGCATCCCTAACGAACCCGAATGGAATAATAACGCAAATTAAAAGTTAGGAACAGAAAAGTCCTACCAAGGAAGGGGAGGGAGGAAGGGACTGAAGGATCAAGCCAGAGTAGGATGGAATAAATTCCAGAACTCAACTAGACAACTAATAAATCAAAGGACATCCCAGAGCGTGGGAGCCTTCAGATAATGAGTAGGACAATATTCCTATACGTAGAGGCTATAACAAGGAGAACAGTAGGAAAAAGTAACCACTAGCAGAACCAGAACAGATAAGACATCAAAGGGGCCCTAAAAGGTCCAACAGAACCCATGCAGTCTAATAATAACAGAAAAGCGAAGACTCCCCTGAAACTCCTAGTCAATACAGGAGCGAACTTTGCAGAGGAGCCGAATAATTAAAGACAACTAAGAAACCAAAGGATATAAGAAGAGAGGAAGGAATAAAAGTGGTTACATGAGGGAAGTCACAAGAGGAGTTTGTTCGAGGAAAAGGGAGAAGGAGATATCAGACAGTTAAGACACCAAAGAAAGAATAGACGGACAGTATAAGAGGTAACTCGGCACCTCTAACAGAAGAATCTTCCCAGGAGTATAATTCCATCCAATGGACAGGCCAAGTTAAAGGCAGAAACCTAAGTCTAAATCAGACAGATCAATGAGAACCAATACTGGAGGTATATGAGGACGCCAACTATGAGTCAAATATAAGTGGAGGGGAGCAGACCAGAAACGGAGATATAGGGGAGATACCCTAACGCAGGACGCGGTTGAAGAAAAGGAACCATGGCGGAAGGAACACAACTGAGGACACCAAGGGGGTAGCAAGGATAACTGCGGCCGCTGAGCTTCCGATGAAGAGTGCGAAGGGATTGAAAGTTCAGGATTTGGAGTTTTGGTTTTAGGGCTTGCATTAATGGATTCTGGGGTTATGTTTCGGGTTTGGGGTACATGCCATCGGGGTTTAGAGTTTAGGTTTAAGGATTCATCGCTTTAGTTGTAGGATTCAAGGTCTAGGGTTTATAGATAAACGTTTAGGTGAGGCGGTTCACGTTTCAAGGTTTCAGCGTTCTGAGCTTTACGGTTCATGGTTCATGGTCTCACGTTTTTGGCGTCTGGGTTCATGTGGTATCGGTTTAGGCTTTAGGGTTCCAGGGTTAGGGTTCCAGGGTTAGGGTTCCAGGGTTAGGGTTCCAGGGTTAGGGTTCAGGCGTGTCGGTTCAAGGTTGATCGTTTAGGGTTTATGGTCTGCGGTTCCAAGATGTAGGGTTTAGGAGTCAGGGTTCATTGGGCAGGGTTTTGGTTTAGTTTTCAAGGCTCACGGTTCGGGGTTTAGGTTTTATGGGGGTTTGGTTTACGTTTACGGGTGATGACTTAGGTTTCAGTGTTAGGTTTCGGTTTCACGGTTTAGGATTTATAGTTTTGGTTTAGGGTTTAGGCTTCAGATCTTAGCGTTTAGGATTCACGTATCAAGGTTAGGGTTCAGGGGTTAGGGTTCATGGTTTAGGATCCAGTTTTACGGTTCAGGATTTAGGGTTAAGGGTTTAGGGTTAAGGGTTTATGGTTCACTGTTTAGGATTCACGCTTCAGGGTTTAGGTTTTAGCTTCAATGCTTAGGGTTTAGTCTTTAGCGTCCAGGTTTTACGGGTATCCTCCTAACTTTTCTCTCTATGCCTTAGGCTTTAGGTTTAGCTTCTGGGTTTCTCTCTGATGATTTAGTCTTCAGCCGCTTATGGTTTAGGAGGTAGGATTTATGGTTTAGGATTGAGGCTTTACGGTTTATTTTTAAGGTTCAGGGTTTATGCTTCAGATTGAGAATTTAGGCTCCCTGGCTTATCCTCTAGGTACTAGCCTGGATTATTCAGGGGTTTAGAGTTTAGGCGTCATTGTTCATGTTTTACTGTTTATATCCAGAATTTATTTTTTCTGGATTAAGCTGTAGGCTTGCTATTTGTTGCGCTATTTGTTGTACGCTCCTGCCTTCAGAGCAGGAAATACGGGGCAGGTGCCCGACTCTATACTTTTACCCCCTGCTTGCTAATTTTCACAGCAGAGAGTTCATTTATCAGATTCTATTGCGTTTGATTTCACTGACAACTCCGTTATCTACCCTGGTCATTGGCTCTTCCCCCTCTTGTCCTCTCTATTCTTTCGTCCTTCTGATTCTGTCCCAGCGCTTTCGTCGTTTCGGATTCCTTTTTGGAGCTTTTGGTTTTCTTTGAGATTGTATTGCTGAACTTATCACACTGAGACTTAGCCTCCCTGAGCCCTATTCCGGTGTCTGTGCTACTTTGTGGAAGTCCTGGGAAAGCGGGACTTATTCGGTGGTTCCATTTTCTACTTAATAATACTCATTTTTACACTGATTCGCTTGTTATACTCCTTGTAAAGCTTATTCCCTAGCTCTAATCTTTCTGTATCTACGATACCAGTCTATATCTAATAATTTTAGTCAATACTTCTGTAGTTATCCTAATAGACTAGTCAACTTGAGATCTCCGCAGCATTGAAGGTTGAATCTTAACATCAGGGATACATGCCATATATAGAATCACTCATATATTCACATTTATGGTTCCCTTACTCATATATCTTTCAATTTATTTAAGCTTGTTCTTGAATCAAGATAGAATTTTGGATCCTGGTTTGATTTCGCTCCTGGAGATTCTCCTTATTATAAGAATATAAAGGAACCGGTGCCACTTTTATTTATAATATACTCTTCCCCCTATATTATTGAATAGATATATTTGTGTTCTATTCTCATGCATAAATGGTGCTTCGCCCTATAACCTCCTTGTTCCTCCTTTACTATCTCCTATGTCAACTTCTCATATTGATACGCCAATGATAGGAAAATAATAAAAATTGTAATCCAGTAATTAACTTCTGAGAAGTTTTTATTAAAATTATCACAATAATATTCATATATTATAAAGGATTTGTAGGTTCCTAGTGCTTATATATATGTATGCTGTATCACAGTATAGTATAATTCCTTCTAATAACATATTTCATACCGATGTGCAAGGAAGGAGAAGATCGAAATATACATAGTAAGGCGATTTTCTTTACTTTGGAACTATACTTCTAGTTATATATCTTATGGATGAATCCCCCCTTCTGGAAGGTAGTGCGTTATTTTAAGGTTACTTATTACTCATGTCTGAATTCAATATGACCTGTACTTGTTCTGTTGGTTTACCAATAGGCACCATTGCTATTATCTGATTCTTCACTGTATCGGTCAGGACGGACAGCAATATTTATCGTGTAATAATTATCCCACTTAGGAACAGGGACCTTCTCGCATAAAAGTATGAATTCTCTGATTCTTATCTTTCAATAAGAATTAGGAGGTTCCATTTGAATAACAAAAGAAAGAATACACTTATCCAATTTCTTATATGTGCATATACATTTAGCGACATAATTATAACAGTTCTATAACAGAGCTATGATATGGGAGCATTTGGAACATTAATTAGGTTTAATGCAAATATATAAACATTATAGTTTGTTCGGGCTAAAATTATCTCTTACAATTTAATTCTTGTATCATTGGGGATTCTACGGATTTTTCTTACTATCCTTAAACAAATATTTACGTGGAAATCAGATTCATTATTATTACATACTATGCTGCATACTGTTATGGTATGAAGATGATCTGTACGAGACGTAGAGCGTCAATTTACAGAATTATCAATAAATTATTTTTCACCCATAGGGAAATAAAACAACTAATTATTTTAACGATACAAGTTCATATTTTCCTTTTTATTTTCCAGAAGTATTCGGTGAAATCCTTGATATCTGTATTTTAAATTTATTTTATAGCTCGTTATCCCTTTCTATTGACGGACTATGTATGATTCTACACACGCGAGGATATATTTCTATGATAACAGAAAGGGAAGAGTTATGAACCTGAAGAATTCTCTGTCAGGAGATAAATATGGGTTCTGTTTGTTTAATAATAACTTTACCTATGAATCAAGGAAACGGTGGATTTCTTTGGCATATGTTACTAACACTAAGTTCAGCACTTTCTTATACTGGTAACATAAGGAAGAAAAGGAGTATATCCAGTAGAACCCTATAAGTATTGCTTAATTATGCCATTAGACCCTTCCAGAAGCTTCATTTAAAAAAAAGGCTTAGGTATGCATAACTACTAACTTAACGAGTAATTTATACTGAACTTCCATGACATGACAGAATACCTACTTGATGTCTATGAACATATCTCATTTCAACTCCCTAACCTACTTCTGAATACACGTATCTACATCTCTTATAATGAACTTTTCCATATTTGTTTATCATCTCAATGTTATAGTCAAATCTTATGAAACCTAAACAGAAGACTGATTGCCTTCATGAAATGTGTTTTAGAGAAGTATCAGCATCTTGATCTAAGTATACGAGTGGCAACGTTCATATGCATACCATACGAAATTGATCCTGAGGTTTCCGTTAGAATGAATATTCCAATTAAGCATAGTGGCTTAGGAATCTTTCTCCACTAGAGTGAGGAATTCTCATAATAATTCAAAGATATATCTCACTGTAAGAATTCTACTTCTTGATGGAAGTTATTCATAATGTGCTATGATAATATTCCACGTAGGCACTGTATAGGTATTCAGCTGATTTAGAGAAGGCGTCGTATAGCTATGAATGGGGACACTTCTAAACGTCCATGTTCAGAATTTGTAAGTATAAGATCGAAGAATGCCGCCCTAAATTTTTGTCTACCTTAGTGTTATGAACGTTACTGTTATGATAGGGTCCTATTTTCTGTTTTGTATCACGCATTACAGAACCTGAATAATATGTTCTGCATATATTTGAGGATTAATCCAAGAATTACTTCCTAAGACTGAGAACATAAAGAACTTGTAGAACTTCGCTTTGAGACAGATATATGCTAGGAATGTGAAAGGATTTCCCATGATTTTGTTATTTTATTTCATCTGACCCTATAAACATCATATTCAAATTTGCCCTATGTAAATTCAGAGAAAGCACATAACACAGAATCAGAACCTCATACGATTACAGGTGCTGAACTATATTATAAGAGTGTTCTGTCCAGAGGACAGGGAGCATTGTTGCAAAAAGTTAATGTCACATGCTTAGTTTAATTATATGGAGTTATACAATCGATTACAGGTCACACCATGTATTGTAATTAGAATGAATTACAATATCATGGTCTCTTTTGAACAGAGCAAGACGGGAGATGTCTAATTTGGCAAAGTATCAGCATGCTGCTATAATTGTACTAAAATGGAACGTCCTTACAAGTAGTGTTAAACTGAAGTTGGACACAAAATGAGGAAAATATAGACGAATAAAAAAAAATAAGGAGAGAGCCAATTACTTTTTACAGTGATACCTACATGTAAATTTCGGTAGAAATTAATAAATTTCTTAAGGAAACTTTTAATGGAAGGATAATATTTATAAGAAGAAATAGTAATTTTCGATTGCTTGGTAATTATGTAGGATAAGAAGATATAAATGAGAAAAAAACAGACTTCATAAGTATGTTGCTAATACATGAAGGGTCTACAAATCCTATTTAAGAGCTTCAGCGGCCCAGCCGGTACATATTGTTGTGGTAATTATTAAGAAGGACTATTAAGCCGTATGACGCTCTTATTTCTTTCCTTAAATTATAGAAGATTGAGAGTGTGTACATATGAAGAGAAGGTGTAGCACTCTGTACATACAATAGTGATCTTATAAGAGGCGGAATTTTCCTGGGAACATCGTAACAATAGTATGAATAATGAGAAATATATGGAACGGTGAAAGGAAACAACTGTCTATGATATCGTTGCCATGGTCTGTTCTGTGTAATGTATTTACAAAGGCTAACCTAACATCATTGTGTCACCAAAGAACAGTCACATAATGTTTGTTCAATAAATATAACAATCCCTTCTCAAGCGTGTCCCATTAGCTATGCAGTAGGATCATCTGTCATTGGGAAATATTCTGGAAGCTTCACTATTATTTCTTATGAGTTATTTGAATCCAAATTATTCATGAAAGTGCCCAATTATTAGGTAACCTCCTCATATACATATCACTGAAATTTCTATATTCCCAATTCGACTTCATTAATAAAATATGTGGATCATGAAACTATGGTCAGATTTGAGATATTTGCTGATTTCTTATAATAATTCCTGTCTAAGTCAGAATTTTATCACAAATTGTTGTACTCGTATGAACCGTAGAATGAACAATATTTATTATTGCATTGACTCCGTCTGCTGAAAATCTATATTTTAAATAATTCTGCGGAAACATGGAATCCTTCTCATTTGATGTATTGGCTTCATGGGAATATTTAAATAGAGCTCACTAAAGATCGAAATGTCTATTGACTGATAAAACCTCCATCAATTTCCCGAAGAGTCCATCAGACGTCTTTCCGTTATTTCGTTTTGCACATGTCATCTAATATGTGTGAAAGACATCCATTACATTCCTGTTTTGAAGGACATATTTGTTTGTACACTATTTCGAAGGACTCGCCGTTTTGAGTAATGTCCTCATAGGGGTAAGGGACATATCATTTATATTGATGTTGAAGTTGCATACATTCGGGGGGATATAAGAGTATAGTTGAGAAACAACATTTAACTTAATGAGTGAATGTATCTTTCCTATGCTTCCATATTACTTATGTCCTGAAATGAACATACAAGGTATATAGTACACACAAGGATTTGTTAATAATACTCTTTATGGTCAACTCCGTAGTCTTATTGTCCAAAGTACGAAAATTGGATAGTTGTGAGATCTGCAGGAAATATAAAATAGCTTCAGCTGCTGTGTTGTGCGTGCATGTGGTATCTGATGTTTGGAACCTCCTAAGATAAGAATTAAGTTTACAATGAGAAATGATGTTCGTTCCCCGTATGTAATATGAGTTCGTTGTTATTTTCATATCTTTTGAAGTACAGCCTGTATTGTTTTTTTTCTTTGGGGAAGAGGTTTATTTAGTGATTGTGAAGTCCCATATGCAATGTAGAAATTGGTAAAATAGTTAATGTACAAAGCAAAATCTCCTAGAATAAGAGATGAATCGCCTGGTAATAGTGAAAAATTAATACATATCTGCGGAAGCTTTAGGAGGGTAATATATCAAAATAAAAATCATTCATCTGAAGAATGTGCTAACCGTGTGTCCCTGTAATGGGGCAGCTGAAGTATGAAAGAATTACGTATAGATATCTGACGTGTACATTGTTATAAGCTGTTTTCACGAAAGCGCTATCG